CAACAAGCTACCATTTTCTGTCCACTACTTAAGTTCAGTCACTGAATGCTCTGTGGCAGGTAATTTGAGTTAGAAGCTCCCCTATAGTGACAATCATTTAGTGTAAGGGTATGGCTGAGGATGTACAGGAGGCCTCCAATGTGGAAAAGGCTCTGGAAACAGCAGCTAACTCCAGGGAGGGCCAGATTTACTATCTCTACCCTTTATTACAGATATTTATGGAAGTTCATAGAGGTATGTCTCTTGAGCAACCCCCAAGTCTGGGCTAGAGTTATTATTGGTGCAGGATCTCACTATGACAGATTTATTACCTTTTTTGCCTGCAAATCCTTTACTTTTGTCTATAGTCAAGACTTCTCATGTGGTTTTGCAGTTCTTCTTACTAGAAAGGCAAGTTGTGTTTCCCAATCTCCTTGACTCCTTGTGATTTGCTTTGACCAACAGAAAGAATGGCATAGTTCTGAGCCAAAGTCCCAAGAAGCTTTGTGTGCTTGTTCTTCATGCATCTTTGTAATGAGATCATGGTGAGCTATACAAATGGAAGACCAGAGTCCTATGCAAAAATAGAGCTGAATCACCTCAGCTAGCTGATCAAAGCCAGCACCAATCAGTTGACAGGAGAGAGTGAGAATGGACAAGGTCAGCAGAGTTGCCTCCCTCACCACCTAACATGTGAGCAATAAATACTTATTGCCATATGCTACTGAGGCATTGAGGGCTGCATGCGACATAGCATTATTGTGGTGACAGATAACTGACACACCCACTTAGAATTTAGAGAATGACACGCCCCTTGAAGAATTATTAGAGGCAACTGTCATCTTCAAATAAAATGGGATGGGTCTCTGCAGATTGCACCATCACTTGTATTGCCCTGAGCTGGGTATCTTTCATGGGTCTTCAGCTCTACAACTATATTTAATATCTTGGTAGAAATGAGAGAATGTGCACCAATAAAAGTGACAGATCATTCTTTATTAGGTATCAATTAGAACAAAGGTGGGAGAAGCAAAGCCCAGAAAAGTGATACCTATGTGCATATTTCTAGATTTTGGATAATTGGAACATCCCTACCAAGAAGGAGTGGGTTGTTTGTGTAGTGATCATATTGGTGTTTGGCTACAATCTCTCTATATAAGGAAGTCAGTATATGTGCAGATCATTGAAAAGTAACCTTTATAAGACTTTTTGGTGGGTATTGTCAACATTTGGCTTCCCTATTTTCAGTGTGGATTAGAAGCACAAATAAGAATCTGGAAAAACAAATTAATGAATCCAAGACTGCTGTGGTCAGTGATTTTAGGATTATTGGCATTCTGAGCTAGAGTCCCTAAACCCTGACACATAAAGGTAAACAAAAGTAATTTGTACTACATTTTAAAATATTTTATAGACCAGAACATATAGAACTTATAAGATAGACACCAAGCTTCTAAGTGTTTGCTTATATATTTAGTCATATATGCTGACAATGACTGAGTGAAGCATGAGGAGGAACTTCATTAATGCGTGTTGGTCATTCAAGGCTTGTCATCAGTCAGTGTCAGCAAGTGTACATTCAGCAAGTGAGTCTTGTCTCTCAGAGCTTAATTTATAGAAGGGGGAGCACATAAACAAATTGACTGCAGTTTCCCAGTAAAACACTTATTTCTCCCCCCTCTTCTCATTCATCTCAACACAGTCTCTGATCCCAAAATTATGGAAATACACTATGTGCCTTTAGGCACAAGATGCCAGAGTTGGTTCCTGGTCCCTGGACCTTCTCTTACTGGTGCCGCTGTCTCTCCTAGACCTCGGCATGGGCATCCAGAACATTGTCCTGGCCCTGGTGAAGTGGGGACAGGCCCCTGCCTATGCCTGATGGTGAAATAAGAACATAGAAATGGAGTTCAGAGGCAGTCCTGAGAGGATGGCAATGCAACATCCCTCTCCTCTATGCCTCACTGGTGTTTTGGGAGGATTCCATAGTTTTTAAAGCGAGCATTCATGAGGGAGTGAACCAACACAAAGAGAGAGTCAGTGGGATTAACATAAATAATGATTTCTTTCTAAGTGTAATGTGTGTGTCATTTTTCTTACAAGACTGCTGTGATTCTAATCTAGTCTTTAGTCAAATTCTAAAACCCAATTCTAGATGAACAGAGGGTTTATAAACACTCGATCTATTATACCAGCTGTAGAGAGAAGGATTTGCTATTAGAAAATGGCATCTTTGCAAAATTCAATTTTTAAACTGGGGAGAAAAAGCTCCACAGGGAGTAGGCTAACTGTAAGGTTTAGTCACTGGAAACTATAAGCAAATAAACCAAAACTCATAAAGATTAAAGAAAGTAGACACTTAGGAGTTCTCTCCAGCAGGTGCTTGTGCAATAAGGGAAAAGTCTACTCATAATACTCCTTCCTCTTGAGCAGTGGTTCTGAGTATGGATTCCAGACCAGCAGCATCAGCATCACCTAGGAACTGGCTGGAAATGCCAGTTCTTGAGCCTCTTTCCAGACCCACTGAATCACAGTCTGGGGAGGAGCCCAGCAAGATATGTTGTCATGAGATTCTGATCCTAAAGATTCTGATCCATACTCACATTTGAGACCTACATGTTTATAATACACAATCTGTCTTTCAAGGCACATAGGAAATGGCTTTCTTTTCCAATGAGATTTAGTTGTTAATGTCTAAGGCATCTAAGTAACAGATCACTTTCTCCCCTGTGCATCTAGAATGATGCTGGCTGTACAATCCTCAGGAAAATGAAGAAAAGTCATTCAAATAGTTTGCTGTGATGTGTGACTGAGTCGCTAATGCCAGTGTCCTTTCTATCCACATTATTACCTCCTAAGCCATTTGGTGACAGGAACACCCACTTCCTGGAATCAATTTCCACATCAATGAAGAAACCTAAGTTACACTGTGGTAACAAATCACAATCCAAGTTCCCTAATTTAACATAACAAAGGTTGGTTTGTTGCTCATAGCCCACCTGGTAACACAGGTTGACGAGAGAATTCTACTCGAGGACCCAGGTTGACTAAAAGTCCGTCTCAACACATGTTTCTATGACCAACCACATGGCTGGGGGAGAGGACATTGGGACCCGCACAATGGACTTCAGGGCATCCACCTGGAACTGACACATGTCACTTTCAGTGATGTTTCATTGGCAAAGCTAGTCACATTCAAGTCTAACTTCAAAATAAGGGGTAGAAAAGAAAAAGCAAAGAACTGGTGTAGCTGAGAACAGCCCCAAGTGACCACGTTCTAAAGGTATGAGCGGGCATGACTCCCAAGGAGTGCAAAGCTATGTATCCACATCGAAGAAATAGCAGGACCAGGAGTTTCCAGTTTTATATCACTATCTCTTAGCTCCCATTGAACTTCAAATCTACCAAGTCTACCCCTGCCTGATCTTTTATGAGCAAACATTTTCATTTTTTAAATTAAAAAGCAAAGTTTATACACAGAAATGTATAAGTTATGAGTATACAGCCTGATGAAACTAAGTAAACCCAACACTATAGCTACCTCATGCAAGTACTACCTCTGATTACCAGGACCTCTCCAGCCCCTCTCTTGCTTTTTCCCTTCCCATCATCTGCTCCCACTTCCCTAATGATAACACTTTCCTGGCTTCCAAAACCATACTTCAATTATTTTTTTAACACTCATTCGTTCCAATAATATTTGTCAGCCAGGCACTGGAAGTTTTTGGTTCTGGCAGGTGGTGTTATAAACCCAAGTATGAAAGCTGATCTTATTGAGCTTCCTGTCGGAAGACTGGCTTTTGATGGGGGTGGTGGAGGAGTGGGTATATTTTAGACAAGGTGGGGGGGTGAACTCTCTGAACCCTCAGGAATTCAACCTAATTAATGAATATTATCTTTATGGTCTGGTTATTTAAATACATTCAATATTTTATAACAGAGCAGATGGGATTATAGCCAGTATTTCTTTGCTGCCTCACACAGAAGCTAAGTGGCCTGTTTAGCTGGCACTTGATTTCTTGCTGCTAACCTGTACCTAATGCTGAGCTGCCTGATACCACTTGTGGCAAAGCAGCACTTGCCCAACTGCAGTGCAGGTATTTCTCTTCCTTTCAGCCACACCCTTTCAGATGGTTCTAGAATTGAGAAGCTGGGTCTTCCTGGGCTGAGAATGGGGAACAAGTGCAAAACTATTTTGGCTCAAATATAAGATTTGCATTTGGTCTTAGGAATATTTCTTATGCAGTTTTGATTTCCTGAAAATTAGGAATAGACTTCCCATTCCCTTGCCTATTAAATCATAATAGGTCTTAATGGAGAGGCAGTGGGTGGCTGGTTTCCTAAAATGCCATTTCCTCTCCTAAATGCCCTCAAATCATATATTTCTAATATGCATTCATAAAACATGCTCTTTTGCGTTCTAGTTTCTCTGCAAAAATAGAATTCAGGGGCCTCCTTGATGGCTCAAGGGGTTAAGTCTCAGCACTATAAATCTATCAGCAGCCACTGCAGCATGAGTTTGATCCCTGGCCAGGGAACTAATCCACATGGTGCAGCAGACCTCTCCTGTCTTTCCCGCTGCTCCCCTCAGCAGTGTATTTCACTCAATCTGCCTGTTCTGCTCCCCACTCTCTCTGGTGAATCCTTTCACCCACTTCCCTGCATCTCTGGCCTACACCCCAGCTCTTATATGCAAAATAAATAAAACAAATCTTTAAAAAAAAAACAACAGAATTCATGTCAAGTGCCTCAAGGACATCATCATAAGTTCTAATTAACTCCATCTTTTACATGTAGAGTTGATTGTGACTTCACAATTCCTCCCTCCCTAGGAAGAAGCCAGTGACTTTGTTGGGGGGGAGTGCCAGTGTATCTAGCCTGGACGCAACAGCCAGCAGTGCAGCCACATCCTTTTGTGGGTAATCATCTTCAACAAAATGTACTTTAAATATATTTTTATAATCTGTTGGCTTCTAAATTATAGCCATGCTGAATAAGAACAGAGCAAACATATGATTAGTAATTTCCTTGTGGCAGAAAGTAGAATTAAACAGTCTCTGGCTGAGGTCCAGGGCTTAAAAAGAATTGTGCTTTCAGTAAAAAAGAAAACAGAAAACAGTCTTTATTTCAAATCCAAAGCAACAGGTCACGGCCTTCTTCCTGGGCAGTGAGAGTGCTGCTTCATGAGGAAGTGGGGATGGAAAAGATTAGTTTAGGAAAATATTCCAAGAGTTGTCTGTCTGCTCAATCACATTCATTCATGTACTGAGCCACCCCTCCCCTGACCCCCGGGGATCCGTGGCAGCCACAGTCTCTGGCCTTCTAGAAATGACTCCAGAAGATCCAGAGATGCCACTGAACATGGGCAGATGCCACACAAAGACTATATTATATAGTTCCTTATGCTAACTGTAATGTTTTTGTTTTGTTATAGCCCTCCCTACACCACCCAAACTGTGTGGAAAAGAATGTTTGAGCAGCGTCTTATAATTAGGGTGTAATAAATTATGGTCACATTGGAAATACCTGGGGTGCTTGTTAAGGTGGCGGATTCGCAGACGTAAAGTGCTCAGTTCTCAGGGTGGGCCCCAACTGCACGTTCACAGGCTCCCCCTCAATTCTTATTGCATGCTGTCAAGGGGAAAGCACTTACAAAACTATGCCCAAAATAAAAATACTTCTACTTATTAGAGTCCCTCATCAAAAGGACACATTTGAGCTTAAAGTTGTTATGGTGAATGTGCTCATTGTTTTCTTTGAGGGAAAAACAGCAGTTTCCTTACCTGATTCTATTTCCCAGCATTATCACGTATCTGCAGTACGATGGAAGTCAGGGATAAAATTGTTGTTATTAGAGCATCAATAGCTTACAGGTAAAAGTTCAACACTTCATTTATTTTGCGGACCAGCACTAGATAGCATGCTCCCTGGAACATTCTCCAGAAGCAACGTACTTCCCTGTGGTAAGTAATGTGTTTAGTCCGTTTCATCCTAATGGTATCAGGACAAGTTGTCAGTTTTACTCTCTTAACATGCAAGTCTCAAAGTTTCCATGGTTCCATTCCTTTTGATGGCAGGGAGGGGGGGAAGTGTTCTGGTCTCTAGCTCGTAAATTTTCAGGGCAAGAGTATCTAGAAAAGGTTTAGCCTTCTATTCATTTAAATCAGAAAATCAAATCACAAGTCTTCAATCCTTTGCTGGCCTCACTTGGGGGCCGCACCCAAGCATCCTGACACAAATCCCTTTATGGAATTGTGCCTCAATAACTCACAGCTGTGCCATTGGGGAGACTCAAACTGCTTTATATAGTGTGCCAAAATCCCAAGATAAAAAGCATTTTAAGTGTCCAGGGTTAGTAGAGCAAACAAGGCACAAGCCAGGTTAGTTACCCAGAAGTTACAGACTTACTAAGATCATTCCATGATACAACAAACACTTGTTTTCTTTGTTCAAATTTAGCACAAGATACCTGAAATGCAGCATGGAGAAATGGGATTGTTTTCTCACGCACTGACAATATTAGTGCCTCCCTTTTTAAAATGGAACAAAGAAAATTCCCAGGGACACAAGCCACCTGAGAGACAGCCCTCCTTGCTCAAAAAGCATGTCATGCCATTAAAGGACAGAAAACTCAAGGGTCACTTTTCTTCAAAAACAAACACTCCTCTGCTTTAATTTATTGTGCTATTTCAGACCTGAAGGAACTTGGGCTTGAATAATTATCTGAACTGAAATTTAGCCCCAGTCCCTGAGCTAGCAGATCTGTCCTGGGAGGGAAGGAGAGGCTCATGATTCCAGGTAGCTGTGGCCTCACTTTCATGGTTCACAGAGGACAGTAGCCTGTCGGCAGTGAGGGCCCTGGTGTGGTGTGGGTGTGTGTTTGTTTGCACCCCAATGTGGCCTGAAGTGCCAACACCGCTTGTCTCAGCAACTCCCAGTACCTTTGAAAAGCTGCAAGCCTCTTGCCCATGAACCAGGCTTCTCATGCAAGTAATGACACACTTGTGGGGAAAATCTATTCTCTGGCCTCTTTCTTAAGCTCAATAATGAATAAATGAATGAAAGAAGGATGATAAGAAAGGTTTCAGAAAAGCCTCATTGATATTCCCTTAATGCACCTGGCTCTGGCAAATGGAGCGGATTAGAATTCACCATCAGCAAGTGTGCCAACACACCTAGTTTCATCTTGGCCAATATGTTTCCACATTGTAATGAGATGGACCCAATTCCCTTTACTTTTTAAAAAGAATTTCGAAACAGGTGCTACTGACCCAACAGCAAGCTGAAATTAAAAGTCTGTTGGGCTTAATCTCCTCTTTCTCATCCTTTCAGGTTTCAGCCAGTCACCCAGCAGCTGCCTGAAATCAGAATCAAAGACCAGTGGTGCTTCTACGCCTGAGAAACAGTTAACTCATCCACTTCCGTTGGAGTTTACCTGAACTGCTTGCCTAATAAGGTCTTAAATTTTAGATTCCTGACGTGAGCAGAGCTGGGGAAACGGAATAGTGCTGTCAGAAGCTGCCTCCTCTCACTGAAGCCCGAGGCCAGCAGACCCGGCACTTGCTCTCTGCATGCGATCCATCCGTCAGCCTTTGCTGCTGCTGCTGTAAGTCAATAGGATCGGGCAGACAGCTGTCAGAGATGAAGCAGGGACAAGCAAAACAGCTTAATGAAATTTTATTTTGAAAATATGGCAAGAGTCTAAGGCACTTCAAACATTTAAATACACATAAGCCAAAGTAAATGTGGCATGATATAAAGGAATCCATAAATATGGAAAGAACTACATTATGTTTTTCTAGAGGCAAATTAAAGCCAGTTCCTCTAATACAATCCAACCTTTATCACTAGGTACAGAGTGTGCAATTATTAATAAAAATATGGTAATGTTACATGTAATTCTTCATGTTTATAATTACCAAGGAATATAAAAGTTGAAAACACTGTGTCAATTTTATAGATACCTTTTATATAAAGTCATATAATACATCCATTTAGATAGAACCAACTGAACATATTTCTTTTTTTAATGTTTTATACTTTCTGAGAGTTCCATTTTTCATCTTCTATTTTTAAACCAGAAACCTACCAGCCCAGTCCCAAGTTGCTGATGATCAAAGTCATCTCAACTTTCTTACTCTTTAAAATAATAAAGACAAAAGAAAAATCAACAAAACCATCCTGGAATGGAATTTTCAAAGAGCTTTCCAATGGTTCCACATTTAGCAAATATAAATACTAATGGAAGAAATTAAAAACACCATGCCTTTGAGAACCTGACACTTCTTGCAGTGGTGGTGGGCGGGGAGGGGAGGTGGATAAGAAATAGAAGTTGCCTGCCCAGGTCGGGTTACAATTTCCTACAACTGTACATAACGGAGCAGAGACTCAACAGCAACAGAGACACTGGGGCAAATGTGCCCCATACAGAGGGAAGATGGCCAGAAAAGAGGTGGCAAGTGCCTAGCTGGCAATCTCCTGATGGCTCAGCTTCAACTGTGAAAGCTTCAGCCTTCTGCCCTCGGCTTTATGCCTTCTGTTTGCTGGTAAGCTCTGGTACAATACATTCAGTATCTGTCACCCCAACAGAACAATTAGCAGCTTAATGGTGGCATGTAAATGGATGGCTATTTGCACACAATCAATCAAAGGAACCTCGGTGGGTGGGACCAGGAGATGTCTTCCTTCCAAGCCTAGGGGTGCCCTAGAGACCAGGAAAGGAAAAAAATGGGGGTTAATGAGTGACCTCAGGCAGATGTGTGTCCTAGAGACCTAGGAACTCCTTCTATGGCAGCTGACAACCACCCAAGAGTCGGAGCCAGAATAGCTGGGAACCCAGGACACAGGTTCACCAGCAGGAGTAGTGTCATGTCCAGCTGTTGAGGAAGTCAACTTCCCACTAAGAGTTGAGTCTGAATCTAGAGATTGCCCATTGTCTACTTTAGGAAAAATGCCACCAAGGAGATATGCATCCATGAGCTTGGGATTTGGCATTTGGATGAACCTGCCACAATAAAACCCTTCAAGTGAAGGGTGAGAGACTCTGTCTCTTGAGGACAAACAGGGGCCTAGCCTCTGCTACACTATCCATTAGCACTCTGGCCTTCTTGGTGGGACAAAAATGATGAACCTTTAAGTTCCAAACTAAAGTTTCCAGTTTCAGAATCATAAATACTGGTTCTCCCTTCAACTCCCCAGGGAAGAGGTCCCACCAGTCTGGTGGATTTCAGGCTGTTCACAAAAGCCAAATGCACAACACTGACCGGAGATTGGGCTTTTGCGAAGTTGACGTGGGCATACAGAAGAACGGCGATGTCCTTGTGTCCTGCTTCCAGGGCTATCGAGAGTGCGGTGCTGCCATCCTTAGGATAGAAAGAACAAGTCATGTTGGGTTCTCAAACCTCCAGACCACCAAAAGTTAACAAGAGAAAATACTCTCCAGTAATTGATGAGGTTTTTCAAATCTAGCCATTTGTTTAGTCCTTCAGGAAGTTTTCTGGACCTCTAAGTGCCAAACCCTAAGGATAAAGCAGGTCCTCTAATGACGTCATTATATTATGAAGATGAGGGGGGATAAAGCCAGCCAACACTGAGGGATGCTACTGGAGGACCTGCTTTCCTTACTTCCTTTTGCTTGAAGTTGCAATTTCCAAGAACCCAGACATAACAAGGTTGGTGAGAACTTACAAGGATGAATGTGGCCTGGTCCCCACACTAAGAAAATCACAATCAACAGAAGAATCACCCCAGTCCCTTTGTCTTTGCTTTCCAGTGTTAGTGAGGTGGTCTGCACAGCCTGGAGCCTCTACAGACGCAGGCTGCTCGGGGAAAACTCTTACTCAACGAGGCTACCAGCAGGGGCCATAGGTAGAAACAATTTGGATCCTTTTTTCTTGTAATTACAAATGAGCAGGCAAGTTACTGTGGTGTATGGATATTCTGATGCCCTGCATTTTGTTCTCAGGGAGGGAGCTGATCCCATAGCACTAAGCATGAGCCAGAGCCAGGAGAGATGGGAACACAGGACAAGGTCCACTGGCAGAGGCAGTTCTGGAGCCAGCGGGGCTCAGTTCTGGGGGAGGGTACTGATCCTGCAGCCCTAACTACCCTGTGGAATGCTATGAGTAACCTCTATGTGTAAGCACTGAACCCTGTTTGCTTGCAAAAATGTATCTCACAGAAATGCTTGGGGAAACCCCAAGTATGGGAAAGAAAAATTTCCTCGTAAATGCTTGTTTTCCTTAAAATGCAGGAATTTAGATGGATATGAAGGAGGATCAATGCAAAGAATTGCACAACTTATTTTGCATCTACAGTCTTGAAATAAGAATTGCGCTCAGGTTGCTGGTAGCAGGAAATGTTTCATGTGTGTTTTGAATCTTATGGTCCTTCCTCCCACTCTGAATTCTGGGAATTATTTTTCTTTCGGAGGCCAGCTGGGTACCCTCCTACTCCTTTAAGGATGAAGGAGTAGACAACAGGCTGGGGTGACCAGAATTTCTGAAAGTGTGTCTATGGCCTTTCATTATTACATCTAGAAGCTATTGTTTGCTAAGAGAGAGTATAAGTAAAAGCAAACAAACAGAAAATAAGACACACGAAACACAAACTGTCCTGAGCAAAGACCAGCTGGAAACTCTCTGTCTACTCCAGGGGAAGTTTAGAGAACCTGGTCTGAGCAAGTGTAGCTCATGTATCCCTGGGAGGTCGTCATCACTGGAAGCCTGTCAGTTCTTCCTGCCAGTAAATACCTGCATTGGTTTGCTCTGCCAGCTGGCTTGTGCCCACAGGGGTCTGAAGTTTAATGCAAAGGAGGATGTATTCCCTCTAACTTAGTGTTCTGAGCTGAAGGAAGCTCTGGCCCAGGCACATGCACCTCAGAGATTAAAAAAAAACTTTCCAAAAGAGAACCATACCAACCTCTATGACCTCCTGCCCAGTAGCCACCCAAGCTTCCTCCCTGTGCCTTGCCAATCCTCATTCCTCCCCTTGGGCCAGCAAACTCCCAGAAGCAGCTTTCCTTAGAATGTTTCCCAGCCAGAGGGTTAGCATGGGATGGGAACTGGAAGAGGAGCTGAGAATGACAGCAGTGAGAACACCCCAGCAGAAGTGAGAAGATGTGCTTCCAGAAGCCTAGATGGTCTGGGTCCCCCAGCTGCTGAAACATTGCAAATAACTCATTTTGAAGAATCCTTGCAAAGGGTAACCCTACCCTCATTTCATTTGAAATGCTTCACTGTAATAACAATTGGCTTTAGTCACCCCAGCTAGAAAACACTGGGGATATCCAGATCAAAGTGGATTGGACCGTGGTTGTCTCTTTTTGGTGGATTTCAGAAGTTGACTATACTGAATCTGATGATTCATTCCTTTTTATAAATCCATTCATTCCTTTATTTATTCTGCTTTCATATATGTCCATCACCTTCTTCCTTTAATGAATCTTTTGGTGATGTCTATTTTTCTTCCTTTGGCTTTAGTTAATGGGAGTATTTGTTTGTCCACAGCAAATGCTACCAAGCAGGGCCACGAGGGAGATGGCGTGGATAGCAATACAAATTCCCAAGGAGAGTCAAGAAGGATTGCTCTCTCCCCTAGTCAGCCAGCACTCACAGGGTTCCCCTGTGTCCCAGCAGGGCTGGGCATGGAACCTGAAGGAGGGTACTTACATTGTCCTCCAGGTGGCCGTTGCAGCCCGGCTGGGCCAGTAGCAGCTTGACGATCTCCACGTGCCCATGCTCGCTGGCACACATCAGGGCGGTGGAGCCCTCATCATCCTGGATGTTGACATCAGCCCCACAGGCCAGCAGGCCCTTCACCATATCTATGCGTCCATGACTGACCGCCAACATGAGGGCCGTCTGTCCTGCCTACAGGAAGAAATGACAGTGGACTTCAGAAGAACACTGGGCTGCCAGGATAAAGGCAGGAGGAAGGAAGAAGAGTTCAGGGTATGTGGTGACAGAGGGGAAAAATGGACATGGAATGACCTGGGGGTAAAGTGGTGGCAAACACGGAAAATGGGGTCTTGCAAGCTAAGTAAGATCATGAAGTAATGAGTCAATTTTTTTTTAAAAGATTCATTTATTTATTTATACAAGCACTGGGTTCAGTAAGAAGTGTGGGAGGGTGAGAGAATTCACCAGAACCAGAGCAGGGAACAGAACAGGCAGATGGACCGAAATACACTGCTGAGGGGAGCAGCTGGCACGGCAGGAGAGGTCTGCGCACATTGTGAACCCTCGCCTGGCGGCTGGGAATTGAACCGGTGCTGCAGAGGCTGTGGGCAGCTTCGCAGCCCAGCACTCAATCGCTGCACCACCAGGGCAGGCCCAGTAATGAGTCAATTTTTTCCTTAGCTTGCAGGATCTGCCAGAAGCTGGAAAGCTCATGTCTGGAAGTCACACTATAAATACAGTGGACTAGGGCACTCTGTGCCTGGCATAAAGACACTATTATCTGGGAACAGTCAGGGAGCAGTGGTTACCAGTCACATGGTAGGGATGCTTAGTCACTGACAAGCAGGTTGACATACACAATTCACATGCACACATATGGCAGGGGCACCTGTGCAGGTCAGAGCTATGTTAGTGAGCATAAGCCCAGGAAGCAAGCATACTCACCTGGCTGGCTTTGGCGTTCACATCCCCGCAGCCAAAGAGTTCCTCCACAACACGCATGTCCTTCTCTGCTTCCACGGCGGCCAGGGCAGCCAGCATGATGGGGGTATACCCTGCCTTGTTCTGGTGATCTACGTTACACACGTCTGCAAAAACATGGGTCTCTTTAGGGGAAGTCATCTCCTGAGGGCAGCAGTTGTCCCCGTGAACTGAAGGTACAGCATTTTGTTTAGAAGAGCCCAAAGGAATGACCTCAGGTCGTCTAAGGCCCAGGGTGACTTGGAAGGGTATGTAAGAGACGTGTTCATACCAAATAATTTTTTTTTTCTCTTTCATGAAGCCAGAAGCAATAGTAAACTTCCACAGCATGTCTTGTTTGCAACTGGTAGTTGGACTGTAGTAGCCTGGAGGTCTGTGAGGTTGTTCTAAGTAATGATTGTTTTGAAGTATAAATAATAATGTGGGATCTAGACATTAAGTGGTGTTTAGGAAATCACTGTTTTGGAGTGAAGAAGACAGTGAGAGCTACAAATGAAAAGAGGATTTGTAAAGGCTTATGTATGGAACACTGAATATGTAGCAGCCCACTTATAACCACAACTTATTCTGAGATCCTGAGTCTGTTGCTCTGACTTGTTTGGGGCCCTGAGAGTAGGATTCCAATAACAGAAAACATAATTCTAGGACCTGTGACCTGACAGCAAATACAGCAAGTGCTCAAAGAAACTGAGGGGGCTAAAAAACCCAATAGACTGGACTTTTTCTAGTCCTGTAATTCTTTATATATATGTGTGTGTGTGTGTGTGTGTGTGTGTGTGTGTATACACACATATATATATATTATTTATACAAGCACTGGATACAGTCAGAAGCGTGGGCGGGTGAGAGAATTTACCAGAGCCAGAATGGGGAACAGAACAGGCAGACAGACCGAAATACACTGCTAAGGGGAGCAGCGGGCGAGACAGGAGAGATATGTGCGCCATGTGGGACCCTCGCTGGCAGCCAGGGATCGGACCGGCGCTGCAGAGGCTGCGGGCAGCTTCACAACCCAGCGCTCAACCGCTGCGCCACCTGCGAGGCCGTAGTCCTATAATTCTTAAGGAGCCTTTAAGGGGTTAACATCCTCCAGACACCCTTAAATTCCTTCAGCACTTTCTATTAAAATGAAAGGAATGGAGAATGCTGGAAAGCAGCTTTTATATGTGACCAAATATAGCTAATATGTTAAGGATGTTTCTATTATAAGCAGTGAGAAGAGGAAGTAACAGGAAAACTTTCCTTGGGAATCTAAAACAACTGCATACTAGGGACATTATGGCATCTAAGTAGCCATATTTTCTAATGTAGAAAAGGACAAAGAACAGAAAAATCTGTGTGATATTGAAGGGTGTGAGCAGACATGCTCGCTGAGGTTACTGGGTATCTGTGCTGTCCAAAGCATTCCAGATTTACAAACACTTTATGGAGTCACCATCTCAATAGCAGTAAAAAGCTAAGTTAATCCAGGAAAGTTATTAACCAAAGCTAACCAAATGATGGAGTTAAAATCATTAAATTTACCAATATTATCTTGCCAATGCAAATTTTCAAAGGGTAGATTAAATTGTTATTTTTAGGAGTTATCCTGAAATCTCATTTTTAGGTGTCCTGGATATTATCCACATTTTTGTTTAAACAATAACTTGGGCTGACAGTATCACCAGTTCTGCTTATAGTCTGGAAAGTCTGGAGGGAAAGAGGCTTATAATTCCTTCCTACAAGATAGAAGCAGTTTTATCCTAAAATGTCTCCTGGGGACAAGCAAACTTAGATGAGGAAAAAAGTAAATCTGCTTGGTTACGTCTCTGCATTAATCATAAATCCCTAAACAGTAGAAGATACTGGACAGTTGGGTCAAGAAGCAGGATGGATTGGGGTCAAAATAAGGGGGTTGCAATTGTATGGGGAATATAAAAACAAAATTAAAAAAAAAAAGAAGCAGGATGGGAAAACCAAATAATTTTATTACATGTTTTTAGTCAGATTTTCACATTGTGCTCTCCTTAATGAGATGAGCTAGTGTGAATTTTATCAGTCACATTCTACAAGTAAAAGTCTATATTTAAAAAATAAATAGAAGTGATTTGGGGACAATATGTACCGCTTGGCTGCTACATTTGGACAAACAGTTGAAAGCTTACTATTTCTCAAGGGGCACCTTCTATGTTCTTCCTACTCTCTCACTTCATGTTTAATACATGTATTGATAATATTCTGGGATCGCAAGTTCCAGGCATAAACAAGAATTGTCACTATTCTCATTACAGTGCTTTACATATAAGAGTAACACTTTCTGCACTCTATGCTAGTTTTCCAAATACACAGTGCATTTTGGCTGGAATGGTGGTGATTTTCCTTAATCTCCCTCTTGACTAACTGTATGCCTCTGCAGGACAGTTAGATGGGGGTCATGGAGCAAGAACAAGTGAAGCAGCCCACAAACACCGGAGCTGTGACTGTGACCCCATGAGCAGCGTTTGCCTCCTGACCATGAACCTGCCAAGCCTGCATGACTCAGCTTAAGAGGAACATGAGTCATGTTTACTACCAGGGACACACCTCTCTTGAATGCAGCTGAACTGCGGCAAGAATATCTTTTACATCTGCTTTCAAAACAGATCTGGGATCTGTGTCACCCAGTTTTATTTAAATGTCAAGTCTCTCATGAGTGACTCATGAACGATATTCTTGCCACTTCATGTTGAAAAGCAATGAAAAGGATTTTAGGAGGGTCACAGAAATGAGGCGCTGATCAGTCAGTTTCTCTAAAATGATTCACACCCAAGTGAGAGAAAGGACCAGAGAGTCAACATACCAGCATCCAAGAGCAGCTTCACAATCTCAAAGTTGGAATGGGACACGCTGTAGTGAAGGGCCGTGTTGCCATTGCCATCAGCCATGTTGATGATGTGACGGAGCACATCGGGGGAGATGGCCTCAAAAGCAGCGATGTAGTCCCCAACCATGGCTGGCACGGCTGACTTCTGACTGGACACGCGGAACCACTCATGCTGGAGGGTGTTCAGACAGAACCTCTGCCAAAACACAGAGGGAACAGCTATTAGTTCTTCTATTTATAGACCTTTCTGAGACCTATCTGGAAACCCAAGATAACCAGGTCTTTCAAAGTCAGAGTATATGCACTTAGAAATTTGCCCTCAAAAACAACCAAATGAAACCCAAAGTCCTAAGAGAAGCCTCAAATTCCAAACTGGAACATCCTTCTTGATTTTAAACCACACATATACTCTTAACTTCTGTAGAAGAGGCCACAGAGTACAGTGTAAGAACCATACCGCAGAGGTTCAGATCCTGGTTCTGCTATTTATAAGGTGTGTGACCCAAGGAAGATGCTCTGCTTTGGTTTCCTCATTTGCAAAATGGGAATCAAAAAACCCTTTCCTTCAGTGTTTTTACTGAGCATAAATGGGGCAATACATGTAAAACACTAAGGCCTGGCTCCATTTATTATTGAATTATTAGTATTAGTTTTGCTAGCCTTGCAGATGATTTTCATAATAATCAGCACAGAAAAAATGACTTAGCCCACATTTAATTATGCTGTTTGCTTCCTATCCAGACTAACCTCACCTTCTTCAACATCTCCACAGTACAGGGAGATCATAAGTATGTATGTACCTCAATCACAAAGACAAATGTTCAGCTATGAAAAGGGAAGAAAAAGCAGATCTGGACCAGATTATATTCCTCATTGGGATCATCTGCATCTGATGATCAATCCCACTTGCCTGACCTAAGCCGTGTACACAAGAACGTGACATGTGTTTTGTGGCCGATCAAGTTGTACGTGGGCCACATGAAGTTCAACATGGACCGGGCAGAGCCAGTGCTGGTGATGGGGACAGCTACAATACTTTGGCCCTCTTTTGTGTGCTTACCATTCATCTGTGCTTTGTTTACTCTAAAAGTTAAAAAATTTATCAAAGAAAGATGGACTGCCTACGTCAAAAGCATCAGAAGACAAGAAGTCCTCCTTCTAAAGACAAGGTAGAGGTGAAGTTACACTGTGTTCATCTTTCATCCTTCTGCTAGTGATTATTGAGGTTTAGCCTGCTTAATTCATTTTCAGTCACTTGATTTTCAGTCACTTGATGATCAGGAAAGTGTTCATCTAATTTTTTTTCTTTTCTTCTACTCACTCTTTTACACATTCACATTTCTATTTCTATTTCTGTTTTCACAAGAAAGAAAGGAAATTATGTTACCAGCGTGCCCTAACTTTGTCACTGCTAAAAATATCCATCCAGGTATGGCTCCATGGCTCTGATGCTGTGATCATTCACATCTCTACTACTTCTCACAGCACAATGATATCAACAGTATTTCATAGAATTCACTTAACAAAACATATACTGATTATGAAGCATGTGCCTGACCACACGTTTGGGGCTGCAGAAATGTAAATCCCTCCCTGAAGACCACCACAGAGCCTACTATTTTGAGAATAAAGAAAAAGTGTACCACTGGCTATAAAATCTGGGGCCCTAAACCATCAGTTTTAAGTTTAGGTTAAACCTAGTGGGAAATATCAAAATTTCAGTGACATTTCATGGTTTTACTATTTGTGACCAAGGTACAGACAGGCATTTGCTTTATGCTGATGGAGAAAAACATGCAGTTCTATGTTCCCCCTTGACCAGGGGCTTTATTTAGCATTTCCTTCTGTAAACATAACTGCCATGCTCCCTTTTCAGCACACTAAATTGAATGTCAAGACTCAGCTGGGTCTGATGAGTTTAAGTTTCTATAGCAACATAAACAACTATGAGAAGATATCACAATTTAAAAAATGATGCCATATACTAAGGGAATACAATTTAGAGGGGATAAGTAAAATGTGGACCAGTACTCAAGAGAGGTACAGTTTAGCCACAGCACTAATTTGCCACTCTAGAAAAGACATGTCATCTTTTAAGGTCCTTAGGTAAAGAGATGGGCCAGAACAGAATGGTTCAACAGACATGTGTGGGCATACACATGGATGCTTCTTCCTGTGACAGCAACCAATTCTTCTTCAGTTTGTGTCTGTTGTGAAAGAGGAAGACTATCTGTCCTTCCAGGGTTAGATAATTCCTCATATCCCTTTTAATCCTTATTTTTCATTTCATAACTCCATAACCTTGTTGGCCTTTAACATCAACTTTCTTACTAGTTGCCAACTTATTTAGCATAAAATCCCATTTAAATCTACTACTAACATGCAAAAATTCAAAAAGCACATTAACATCTAAATGAACATGAGAAGCTACATTCTCTCAACTCACTTAAGGTAGTCATCAGCCAGAGGGTTGGTCTGACCTGTGAAAGAATCTGTTCATCAAAACTTCAACATATGAGAGTGCAACACACTCGACTATGGCATCACATCCAGCACTGCCAGAGAAGTATCTATCTGTCATATGTTGTGCCAGTCAGATGAAGGCACCCATCAACCTCTATATTGTTTGTTTCTGAAGCTTTCAAACTATGAGAAGATGACAAGTGCAGCTATTTCTATGTTTAAAAATAGTGGCCGCCTGCATTCCACATCAGAACAAAATATGCAGTTTCATAACTCAAAGGAATGCCAACCTCAGCCCAGATAGGTTTCCTTTAAAAACATATGTTAACTTAAAAAAAAAATTTGGGATTCTGCTCCCTGGATCACAAGGCTCTGTGAGCCGAAGCAGAACATGTAGAAAGAATGACTGCAATTAATCTCCCGTTCCATGTGCCAGTATATGCCTCACAGATGCTCCAGCCCCAAGGGAAGTACAGGGTTGAGCAAGAACCTCTCAAGTTGGGTCTGAAGGGAATGTTCCGTGTGATCTGGGGAGCGACAGCACAATGCTCACACGGCCCACACATGCTAGAAATAGTTTCGGGGGTGGGGTGGAACATGCAGGCAACAACAGCTCAGGGGTATGTTAGAGATGTTGGTTTAATGGTGACCACTGGGGACTTTGTAAAGACTGGGAGACCACAGTTCAGACTCACCATATCTTTGCTGGTCAAAGCTTTGGGGTCATTTATATTATTTTTCAGTAAGTTGCATGCAGACAGCATCTTCTCACTTAATTCATACCTAAAAGGGTAAAAAAAATAAATCATGATTGATTATAAAAAAAAGGCATTTTTGTCTCAAACTCTATGATCCTTTACAAGTCAAGCTGCCCCAAGCTGACTGAGGCTGGTGTAAAGTGCTTCCATGGCGACCAGGTGTCCCTGGGGCCTGCGGACCAAAGCTGCCACACAGAAAGAGCTCAAGGTCTTTCATTAGGGTTTGGACTTTATGACATGGAATAACATTTGGAAATTTTTCACTGCTTCTGTTCTAAGTTCTTAAAAACATTTTACTTTCACGAGGTTGAAGAAATTGGAATGACCACATCCATTATGCTGACCAGTCAACCACATATCTGAACTTGAATCATGAGACTCCGGAAGTGCTTGTTTAACAACCACATGGAAATAGAATCTTAAAAATCAGATGATCTATGTCATACATATGGCAAGAAAGCTGTTGAAAAATGATGACAAAATAGTGAGCTATTTGAAAATACTTGGAGATATAAACTAAAAACACTTACCTTGTGTTAGTACAGTTAAACTTTCATTTACAAATTACATAGAGGTAAGTTTTCTGAAAGGTTTTTACTACTTATATTTCACATTGTGAGAAATCATTCTGAATTTTTTTTTTTATCTATTCTACTCGGTTTGCTAAGCATTGATTCCATATTTACTAGTAGTCTAAAATTTACTACATTTTTAGGTACTTTTTCAAGCCAACCAGAGCATTTATTTGACATTTTTATTTCAGCCACTATTTATAATATTCCCAATCCATTCTTGTAGTGATTCCAACTGCTCAAGGAGTAACATAATTTAGACATGTGATGATTACATCATTTATACAGTAAATGTGATCTTTGAAGCCAAAAAATGGTTCCACTCACATACAATCATCCTATAGAGATAACTGGCTAATGATGAAATCTGATATGTTAGAAGAAATGTGCTAGTCACAAAAATTTCTAATGTGTCTTTTAATGTAAGGTGGTACATTCCAACAATGGAATCTTCAGTGATGCTTAACAGTTCTATGAATGGTGACTCCACATACAAAATTAGATAACAGATATTTATAACAAAACAAAAGGTAACCAGATATAAAGCCACTCTCTTTGCTATTCTAACAAATATAGGAGTTATCACCTCCTGTCCTGGTATTTAGTAGTATCACAAGATGCACCTACTTCAAAGGAAAAGATAAATTTACGCTGTCTTTTGCAGATTGGAGACACCAAACAATTAGACAAAATTGCAAAATACCCTAAATGGAGATTCTACTGCCAAAGTACATTAAATGCAAGAGGGGTTAGGGGAAGAAGGGGAATGTACCACACCTCTCTCTGATTTCCACCTTCTCAGGTTCACATTCTTGAACCTGCATTTCATCTTCCACCTTGGAGGACTTGACACTTTCAGTATTAACTGCAAGGTGCCCTTCTGCCATTTCTTCATCCTTTTCCTCCTCCTCTTCCTCAGGAGGATACTCAGTGACATCACACTCGTCATCTGACTCGGAAGAAGAACTTTCATCTGAGCTGGAATCATCACTTGAAGTAGTTTCATACCTAGGTGGCAATTGGGATTTCAGGAGATGCAAGGTGTGCCCATAAAGACCCAGTGATAGAAATTTCTACAAAAGGAAGGCAGCTGACTGCAGAAATCTCACCAGTTGTTGCACACTCTGAAAATGAATGTTCAAAGTAAGGTCTATTTAAATGACTGGTAGTTCTCAATATATTATTCTGACCTGAGTTGCCAAATGGTTATCATATGCTACTTAGTATAAATCAAGAGGAAACTGAATTTATGGAAACTAGGTCTGCAGTAGTTACTTTTTTCTTTTATTCTTCCTATTTTGCTCCATTAGAATGTTCTCTGAGTGTCAAGGTGACCAAATTATTTAACTAACCAGTAGTGCCTCTGGTACAAGCCCTCTAAGAACTTCTGGGCCACATCATGTAATAAAATTGTAAAGATTTGGAAAACAGGCATTTTCCAAATGGTATACTTCACTATAAATAGGATTTCAACTAACTCTGTACTACTGCTTTCTTCTTGAGGCCATATGTTCATTAATAGATCAATTAATTGTTTTGATTCAATTGTAGAGGAGAAACAGGCTTAACAATTTACCTGGGTCAACTGGAAGAGAAGAAATAAACAAGTTCACACTCTGTTTAGAAAGTAAAAAACTAAAGACATGGCTAGGTTACTTTCCTGGTGAAAGACCCAACCATGGTGTTGTGAACATGGACAGCTAAGCAAAGCAACCCATTGTGGAGGATGACTATCATTGGCCCCTGTAGTGATGCGCTCAGTCTCTTTCTGCTTGCTTTTGAGTTCTAATATAGGTAAGTATAAGTTGTCCAACAGCGCAGGGAACCTGCTGCCTGCTGCTTTTGTCGAAGACTATTTTTTTTTTTTCAGAAGAGGTGAGAAGATGTAAATCGCTCAGCTTCATCAGGTATCCTTTAAAAAGTGACATGTCCTTAAAGACAGCAAGAAGAGGAGAGGAGAGAAGCCCAAATGCACCTTTCTGCAGAGAGAATCTTCCATCACCAAGATGTGGCAGCATCCCAGAGTAGGCACCTTTAAATAGGACTTAAGTAAGCAGGAGGCAAGAGATAGACCATGTAAAAACACTAGTACCATTTTTCCTTACCCTCCATTAATGCCAACAAACTGAAGATTCTTTTTTGCTCCATTTGCATCTTTGTTACCATCTTTCTTCTTCATGATGGACTTCAGTGTACTTTCATTATTTGTACATACTGTGAAAAAGTGAATCAAGAGGATCAAATTAACATAAGTGAATAGGTAATTTTAGTTTATGTACAATGTTGTTATTTTTTTCCTCATTCATGTCAATTTAAATCTTGGCGCATATATATATATGAAACCTACACAAAATTCATTGGAAAATTATACACATGCAAAGAAAATAATTCAAACTTTCATTAATAAAGTTCTTTAAATGGAAAAAAGTCCATTAGTCCTTCCACACATAACAAAAACAGTAATAACTAGCATTTTGTCAAGCGTTATTGTTTATGAAATGATGTCATGTCTCACTTGATCCTCAAAAGCCATTTAGACACTTAGATAGGGATTGTTATTATTCTTTTTCTTCAGTTCAGATAACCAAAAAGAAAAATTATGCTTTCCAGACTGTAAAGGAGTGGAATGCTATTTAAAATATTTCAAAATTCTGGGCCTCCCCGGTGGCGCAGTGGTTGAGTGCTGGGTTGTGAAGCTGCCGGCGACCTCTGCGGCGCCGGTTCGATCCCCGGCTGCTCCCCGGCCACCTGAGGAGGGTCCCACATGGCGCGCAGACCTCTCCTGCCGCCCGCTGCTCCCCTCAGCAGTGTGCTTCGGTCTTTCTGCCTGCTCTGCTCCCCGCTCTGGCTCTGGTGAATTCTCTCACCCTCCCGCGCTTCTGACTGTACCCAGTGCATGTATAAACAAAACAAACAAACAAATAAATAAATAAAACATGCCTCTATTAAAAAAAAAAAAAACATTTAAAAAAATATTTCAAAATTCACATCAGATGAGTTTTCTTAAGGGCACTGCACAGCACTCTTTAGTAATCTTAATTGAACGGATTCTAGGCCTACCTTCCTAACAACATCAGAAAGGTCCTTTCAGGTCAACTGATGAGGCACACTGGCTTTACACTGAAATTCTGACAATGCTATTCCTAGAATCCTGATACTAAAGGCTCTGAGTGAGGAAAGTTACCATAGAGGCCAGAGGCTATCTGGTCGTCGGTCAGGTTCACTGGTGTCACCGTGCTTTCCTGAGATGGGAGGGAATCCTGGCTGCAGATGGGCCTCCCTTCTGTGGCCCCCACCTCTGGTGCGTGCTGGGATGTCTGGGCGCTTAATGGTCTTCCTGACTGAAGACCTCCGCACTTACAAGTACATTCCAAATTACTGCCTGTCAGAAAGAAGATGGGTGGAGAAGTGTGTGATGCTAGGATAAAAGGGGCTAAAATCTTTTTAAGATTCTCACAACTCATCATTTTCTCAAGTGCTTTCTTCCCATGTTTTCTTTTGCATAAATGGTATTACTACCCAGACCCCCCCAAACGGAAACCCTCAACTTTCTTTGACTCTTTGCCTTTCGCTGTATTACCACATGGGATCTGCCAAGCCTCATCATTCTAAGGTCACAGTGCCTCCGCTCTCTGTTCAGGCCGCTGCCTTCTTGGTTCTGGGCTTCTGCTGTTGCCTCCTGACTGTCCCTCTCACTTCCTCTCCCCGCCTCACACACTGTTGCAGGGTAATATTCCCACTTTAGTCCAATCCTGTTTTCACTCCAACTAAAACAAAACTCGAGAAGACCTAAAAATCTTCCCATGCTCAGGAAAAGAAGGTCACACATTTAGCAGACACTCCAGACCACCTGCAACCTGGCACCTTCTTATTTCACTTTACTTCCCACTGCACCTCTGGTCTGTTGGCCTGGGGTCTGCCTCCTAGTAGATGCAATTACTGCCAGTGTAGAGGGCGGAGACATAGAGTCCATGTGTAAAACAGTAAACAAATTTAAAAAGAAAGGCAGATGGCATAATATGCCAGAAAGAAACAGATGACGGAAATTCTGGTATATTTATACAAAGTACTTCTACACAGCCATTAAAGATGTTGATGTTGGGGGCCTCTCTGATGGCCTAGGGGTTAAGTCTCAGCACTATCATCGCTGCAGCCTGAGTTTGATCCCTGGCCAGGGAGCTACCCACATGGTGCAGCAGACCTTTCCTATCTCACCTGCTGATTGCCCTCAGCAGTGCATTTCGGTCAATCTGCCTGTCCTGTTCCCCACTCTGTCTCTGGTGAATCCTGTCACCCCATTTATCTCTGGCTTACACCTCAGCTCTCAAAAAAAAAGATATTGATGTTGGTGGACATTTATTAATATAGAGAGATGAGCATAATGCATGGATTTTCAAAGGTTAAAAAGAATATAAAGAAAACAAGCCTATTTTGGTGAATAATTACACTTATATGTATATATTTTGCCTAGAAGGATATACAACAATCTGTTCAGCACTGCTTTTCTAAGGCTAAAGAATTATGGGTTACTATTTTTTTCCTTCTTTGTGTCTCTAATTTCCTAAATTACCTATTATAAACATAAGTTGAGGGGCCTCCCTTGGTGGCAGGCGGTTGACTGCAGTGCTGTGAAGCTGTCCACAGCCTCTGCATCGCGGGTTTGATCCTGATCGGCCAGCGAGAATCCCACATGGTGCAGCAGACCTCTCCTGTCTTGCCCGCTGCTCCCCTCAGCAGTGTATTTCAGTCAATCTGCCTGTTCTGTTCCCTGCTCTGTCTCTGGTGAATCCTCTCACCCTCCCGCGCATCTGGCCTGTACACTGGTTCTTGTATGCGTGAATAAATAAATCTTAAAGGAAAAAAATAAGATGCTAATATGAATAAAAAATGTAAATCTCCCCACAATGTCATGTGATAAGAATCTTACTACAATTTTCTCTCCTTTAAAGTTTTGAAATCATGTAGGTGCTTAGAAGAAAATAACTTTAAGTACTGATTGCATTTTGAGCAATCTGAAGAAAAAGAACTATGATCCATTCTAAAACTCTTCAAATTTCATTGATCGTAAGAATCCATCTGGGATATTTGTAAAAATGCTGATTTTGTATTTTTCAGTACCTTGACCGAAAATCATTCTGTGGGTCTGAGACAGAGGCCGAGAGGTGGACACTTCGGACCTCCCCCACTGATTCATCCATAAGAGACTTTGATGCAGTGGCCCAGTTTGGAAACTACCAGTTTGAAACAATGATACTCTAATAAAAAGGGGTGTAAGGAGGCAAAATGTTCTAAATGAGACATTACAGAGCCTCTAAATTTTAATTCTCATATATCCAAGCTAAGAATTCTGAAGCGTATGGAGGTTCAATCATTTGGCTGAGGCCACAGAGCTGGATTAGAATCTATATTTCCTAATTCTGTAAACCTCCTTTGCCCAATAATCAACAGCTCAATGCTCCCATCTTTAGCTTAGTGGGTCTGGGAAACTCCTCAGGTGATATCTTCACAAGTCTACCTCCTTCCTCAACACACAGACACAATGCTGAATGCAGTCCTCCAAACAATATTTACTAACCCCATGTTCTGATGTGTCTTTTCTTATTTTTTAAGGTTTTATTTATTTATTTATACAAGCACTGGGTACAGTCAGAAGCCCGGGAGGATGAGAGGATTCACCAGAGCCAGAGGGGAGAGCAGAACAGGCAGACTGATGAAATACACTGCTGAGGGGAGCAGCAGGCAGCAGGAGAGGTCTGTACGCCATGTGGGACCCTCACCCAGTGGTGGGGGATCGAATCAGCACTGCAGAGGCTGCAGGCAGCTTCGCAACCCAGCGCTCAACCGCTGCACCACCAGGGAGGCCCTCTGATGTGTCTTCTTAATAGCAAATACAAAATGTCTAAAGTGCCTTTGACTTACTTTGGGCAAAGTAAACACAGCACTATGTTTATCTTCATTCCTCCTTCTATAACTCCATTCATAATTTCTTTTTTAGAGATTTATTTATTTATGCATACAAAAACTGGGGTACAGGCCAAAGATGTGGGGGGAGGAGATGTGAGAGGATTCACCAGAAACAGAATGGGGAACAGAACAGGCAGACTGACTGAAATACACTGCTGAAGGGAGCAGCGGGTAAGACAGGAGAGGTCTGCTGTGCCATGTGGGTAGCTCCCTGGCTGGCCAGGAATCGAACTTGTGCTGCAGTGGCTGCGGATTGCTTCATAGTATGGTGCTTAAACCCCTTGCACCACCAGGGAGGCCCCATAATTTCTTTAAAGAGCCTCAGTAGTTAATTTGAGAAACATTTTTCTAAGATAAACACTTTTTCTAGACAAGTGCTTTTACTAAGCATTTTCCTATTAAAGAACAAATAATGAATGTTAAAATGCACACGTTTTAATAGTTTTGACTATTGAAACCTTAAATATATTAAAAAAAAAAAGGGACAATAATACATCCCTGTGTCCCCATCACTAAATTCAGCAATGATGAGAGTTATACCGGCTTCATCCGTCCACTTACACTAAATTATTTTGAAGTAAAAGGCAGAGGTCCTATTACTGTCATCCATAAATATTTCAGTATGTAGTCCTAAAACAAAGAACTCTTAATATTTGTAACATTAAAACTATTAATTTCTTAAGGTAATCACCAGGGGTCAGTATTAAAATTTCTCCAGTGGTCTCTTAACAATTATATAGAGTGTCTGAAACAGAATCCCTGTCATACATTTTCACTAATTTAATTCATAGGCTCTTTTCAAACACAGTTTTCAGAGATTTTTAAAATGAGGTATAATTTATGTATAATTTTAAGTGCACAGGTTGATGAGTTTTGTAACTACCTTCTTAACTAAGATACAAAATATTCCTACCAACCAGGAAACACCTTCTTTCTCCCTCCTGTCCCTTTCAAGATAATCTCCCCACCTGCAGGCAACCACTTCTCACCATAGGTTAGTTTTATAAAGTAGGATATTTAAAGTTTCTCCAATCAAGGTCCAGCACCTCAAGACATGTGAGGATCCTTCCTTATCAATGAGGACATTTTCATCTTATCTGTGGGTATTTTACTGCTCAACTCATCCAGAATTGTCTAATGACTTAATCAGCCCATCTCTGTGCCAATCTCTACTGGTCTGCTCTAGAGACCTGGAATTGCAGTATTCTTTACAAGTTGAATTTCATCCATACTGTTTCCAAGGCTTGCTCCAATTCTATTTCCATCATAACTATGATACCATTCCAAAAATAACTTTTTCCTATACTGTCCTGCAGCACCACTGTCTGGATCAATATATACTCTGCTTTGTGTTTGTTTCACTTGTGTCTCCTCCATGGGAATGTGAGCTGCCCAGCCATGTTATTCTGTGGTGTCTCCTTCAGTGCTGAACAACAGAAAGCTTTTAATAAGTGCCCTGTAACTCAACAGAAAGTCACAGGGTTTCTGTTGAGGCTAACTGACAAGGCAAATAACATTAAATGTTAAGCTAGTTCTCGATCATTGAAATCAGAGGGAATTTGTCACCTATATTTCCAGAAAATATTTTTTAGATGGTGTTGAAACACTGGCTGCTCTGGAATGCCTAGACAGTTGTGTGAAGTCTGTAAGGTCCTTGCAGTTAGAGGACACACCTCTGGTGACAGACACCAGCCTCACACCCTGACAAACCACAGCTATGTAAAGTACAAAATGGGAAAGGTGTTGCCATGTGGCCAAAATAAAGTCGCCCACAGATTCAGAGGTCTAAACCCACTGAGCTTTAGAATCATCTGAGTTGGGAATGAAACTTTAAAAAAAATTCAACAAACTATTTGCTGGTGGGTATAAGTATTACTATTTTTTAAAAGCTCAAGTGGACCCCAGTGTGCAGCCAGGATTGAGGACTACCAAATTAAATAAACCAACAGAAAACTTAACTGCTGAAAATAAGTATTTAGACTTCCCTCTTGTGTTAATCCATCATCTTGGACCATGTGAATTCTTAGATGGTGCCGCTAACAGCCCTGGAACACTAATGGTAGATATTCATGACCAACAATGGTAAATACTACTCAAACTACGGGCACAACAAGGCAGTAATCATAAGAAAACTGTCAGAATTCTGGCATTCTGGCCTAAATGACCAAAGTTCCCACCAGGTGGCAAAGGTTTCTATAAGCACAACTGGGGAGTTAGCTAAAGTGCAGAGGGGCGAGCTGAGAACTATGCAATGTCTTTGGTCAATAACTAAACTTATAACGACCATAATGACAATAAAGCATGAACCTAATTTTAAGACTTTATCAGATTAGGATGACCAAAAGACCACAAGTGACAGAAATCTCAGTGTTCTGGAAAATAAGATAACCTTGGAAGCATGAATTCTAATTCTAATTC